ATCAGAATGGGGGAGTGAGGTAATGCTGTGTTCTGGAATTATTTTCCATAAAGTCTAGGATTGGTAGGTTTCCAAGGGGATGATTGAGTGGTTGAGTTATATGAGTAACAACTTGTAGATTCCAAATTCAAATTCTAGCTACAACACTCAATATGAGCTCATCTCCGCATTTGTACTTATGAGCCATAGCAGGTTGCTCGGTGGATTAATCGAGATACACACAAGCTGGACCAAAGACCACCATTAAAAAAATGTTCTAGGATGGGTAGGAAATTATAGATGGATAACTTCGTTGCGAGGGGAAGTGGGAACTTTATTGACCGCACTTGAGATGACTTGTTGCATAGTGTTTGACCTTCTGACAGTAAAGAAACCAAAAAGAGATCCAGTGTTAATGTTTTTAACAAAAATCATACTCCAATTCTTTCAATCTAGTGAAAGGAAAATGGGGGAAAAAAAAACTCGTCTTTCCCCTTTATAAAGAAAAGCTTGTCTATCCCTGCAATGAATATTAACTGCTTGTATAATACGATAAATGGATTACTGGAACTGAAACATGCTGCAACCATGCATAGACCCTTCAAGAAAATGATGAGCTACTTCTAGATCACTAAATTCCCAGATGCATAGGTTTTGTTACGTTATAAACATGTGAATTTCTTTTGTGGTACTAGTTGTAGGCTCTATCTGGACCATGATGGTTGTTACTGCTATGAAAGAAGCGTGTTTGAATACTTAATTTTCTTTGTATATGTGCAGATTGGATGGATCTATGGTTCTGTCACAGAGGATATTCTTACTGGATTTAAGATGCATGCCCGTGGTTGGCGATCTATATACTGCATGCCCAAGAGACCTGCCTTCAAAGGGTCAGCTCCTATCAATCTTTCAGATCGTCTGAACCAAGTGCTTCGATGGGCTTTAGGGTCAGTGGAAATTCTTTTCAGTAGGCATTGTCCCATATGGTATGGATACAGTGGAAGGTTGAAGTGGCTGGAGAGATTTGCATATGTCAACACCACCATTTATCCAATCACTTCCATTCCACTACTTATATACTGCATGCTTCCAGCTATCTGTCTACTTACTGGGAAATTCATTATCCCTCAGGTTAGCTTTTGGATCTATAAATTCTTTTCAACTTGAAAAGCATGCTTGTTATATCTTTTCTTCTTTATTCAAGGTAATTTAATACTCATGTTCCATTTATCTGGCACACTTTCTTTTTTCTTTATTTGTTCCAAAAGGATGACGCTTCTCTATATTTAGAAACAATTTAACTTAAAACTTTCCATTTTACCCTTAATGTCATGATTTTATAGCCACAGAAATGTCATGGCATGTAAAGTCTTTCATTCTTTCTTAAACTTTGTGTCCAGACAAACACCTCCACATTCTTATATGATAAGAGGTCAAAACACTTTCACATGAAATGAAATAGACGGAGTAGAGTATTGTATTTGCTAAACCTATGGTTTCCTATTTAATTCGGCTGATGACTGATACTTCTGTTCAAGCAAACTGTCAGTTGGCCTTAAACTGTGTATAGTATCTAAACTTGGAAAAGAATATGAATACAAACATAACTGCATAGCATTTCATTAAATCACATTTAGCATACGTTTGCCAAGATATTGTTTAACAGGGTTTATGGAATCTTAATTCTTGCTTTGCAGATTAGTAACCTTGCTAGCATCTGGTTTATATCCCTCTTTCTTTCCATTTTCGCAACTGGTATTCTGGAGATGAGATGGAGTGGTGTTGGAATTGATGAATGGTGGAGAAATGAACAGTTTTGGGTCATTGGTGGTGTGTCAGCTCACTTGTTTGCTGTCTTCCAAGGGTTGCTCAAAGTGCTTGCTGGTATTGATACCAACTTTACTGTCACATCCAAGGCATCAGATGAAGATGGTGACTTTGCCGAACTCTACTTGTTCAAGTGGACTACTCTTCTTATACCCCCTACTACTCTCCTCATTGTAAACCTGGTAGGAGTTGTGGCCGGCATCTCATACGCTGTTAACAGTGGTTACCAATCATGGGGTCCACTCTTTGGTAAATTATTCTTTGCTTTCTGGGTGATTGTTCACCTTTACCCCTTCCTCAAAGGTCTCATGGGTCGTCAGAACCGGACACCCACTATTGTGGTCGTATGGTCTATTCTTCTGGCCTCCATTTTCTCTTTGTTATGGGTGCGGATTGATCCCTTCACCACAAGAGTTACTGGACCAGATGTTCAGGAGTGTGGTATCAATTGCTAGAAAAAAAACTTCCAAGTTTGCATGCAAAGCAAAGAACTAGCCTGAAGGTCATTGAAGTACGATTTACTCAACAATGCAAGCAAACAAACTCAGATGCTCTCTAGCTGCATAATCTATCATCGTTTTCATCCGAACTTGGGTGTGTACCTGTTTTTTGTCCATGTTAAGTTTACTGTATTTGTGCAGAATTTAGCCATGTAAAAGTTCCTTGTCGGTCCAAGATCAAACAACAAACACCAAGATCAAAATTTGCTCTGTTTTAGGTTTCATTCCCAGATAGAAACTCTGCTTGATGTATACGTATTTTATATTGCCTCATATTGGTGGATGCAATGTTGTAACTTATAGTGCCCTTAATGCTCTAGTGTATTTATTTATTCATTCAAATTTTGTTGCAATGTCAGGACTTCAAAGATTATTACTTATATGGTAAAAATAGTTTGTTTTCCTTTTCTGAACTCTCTTTCAGCGTTGAGTATCTTGTTTTAACTATGGTAGTAATTTCTTTATCCAATCCGAAAATTATCTTGACAGAGATCAGAAAACTTTTGAATTCCAAATACGAGGATACAATATTAGCCACATTTATATTCGTTTAATTTTTAAAACAACGTCAAATTTCTTATATTGCGCATTTTTTTCTCTTTTCGGATCTTATATATCTCCTAAATGACAGTGTTCTCCGTAAAACGACTTAAGTTAAAAGGGTGTGTTTGGTACAAATCTAATTTTTCCATGTTTGGTTAGCTTAAATGGTTTGGAAAATATTTTCCTCATGAACTCATTTCCCTACAATTGGAGGAAAATGTTTTCCCGATCAAGAGAAGGGAAAACATTTTCCAAAACTCTTTTTCAATCTTCCTCACCCTATTCCCCATCCTTACCAACCCACCCTCACACTCCCCACCTACCAACCCCACCCCCGTGCACCCTACCCCACCCCACCCAACTTCCGCTCCCCACCCTCACCCTAAATAAAAATATTATTAATAGTACTTTTTTTATGTTATAGATATATATTTTTTTTCATTTCAACAAATGAGTATTTTCTTTTCATGATATAAAAGTATTTTTTTCATTTTAATAAAAAAATTACTTTTTTTCATGATGTAGACTAATAGCCCGTTTGGCCAAGCTGCAAAAATCAACTTATTTTGAAAAGTGTTTTTTTTCAAAAGTACTTTTGATGAGAAGCAGTTTGTGTTTGGCTAATTAGTTTGAAAAACACTTCTGAGCAGCAATTAGTGTTTGGCCAAGCTTTAAAAAACTACTTCTAAGTGTATTTTTCTCAAAAGTGCTTCTCAAAAAAGTGCTTTTGGAGAGAAGCTACTTTTTTCTGCTTCTCCAAAACTGCTTCTGCTTCTCCTCAAAAGTACTTTTTTTCTTTCCAGAAGCTTGGCCAAACACCTCAATTTTTGGCCAAAAGTGNCAAGGGTGAGGAGAGTAGCATAAAAATATATTTCCTAAAAATATATTTTCTACTCTCTAACCAAACACTAGAAAATATTTTTCGAAAATTTTTTTTCGCTACTAACCAAATAATGGAAAATAAGTAATAAAACTAGGGGTGGACATTCGGTATTTCGGTATTCGATTTATCAATTATGTATACCAAATACCGTACCAAAATATTTCGGTACAGTTCGGTATTTCTTATTTTGGTTCGGTACGATTTCAGTATGGTTTCGGTTTAAACCAAATCTTCACTGTCTAGAGCTCCCAGCTGAAACATAATAGAGGATCATTTAGATACAATTTCAGCGTTTTCCTACTCATTACTACATAAACATCTCAGTAGGAGAATTCCAGGAATCGCATCAACAGATTGCAATCATAAGAGAACGTTTCCAATTCATTGTTGATTAATGTATCAGAATCAGTATTGACCGTATAATTATTATCCAGCAGGACTTTAGACTCAGGGTTGATCGTAATATTATTACCCAGCGGGACGTTTTCGTTTGAAATAGTGTTAGGATTCAAGTCCGGATTATCAGCAGGGATTGATGATTTGGATCGAGAGGTACGTTGAGCAAAGTCGATGGCAACGAATATGGGAGATTTCTGGGAGTTTGAAATAAGGAGGAAAGTAACGAAGATTAGCAAAAGGAAAAAAGAGAGGATGAATGGGTATTTGCGTTGCTTCAAGATATCTTGCATGGACGATGAAGATGATGATATAGCCATTTTTTTGGATTGAATATTCTGTGTCTGTTCTTTTGTGATCTCTCTGGCCAGAGAGATGAGGGAAAAAAACGATGACGTGAAAAAATGCAGAATACACACTATTTCGGTATTTCGGTATACCGAAATACCGAAATATCAAAAATTCAATACCGTATACCGAACTGAATTACCGAAATTTTTGTACCGAAATACCGAAAAAAATCGAAACCGAAATACCAAATTAATTCGGTTCGGTTCGGAATTCGATTTTTCGGATTTTATGCCCACCCCTAGATAAAACTCCTCATTTTCCATAGAAAACATTTGAATTTTTAGCCAAAATTATCCCTTATCTTTAGGGGTAAGCTTAACTTTGTCCTCTAAATATAACCCTTAGCACTATTTGTCCTTTAAGTTTACAAAACTTGAGCACTTTTAGTCTCACTAACGGAAAATACTCACTCATGTTAAAAACCTAACAGAGATATGACTCGTGTTAAAACCCTAACAGAGACATAAGACGTGATTTGCACGTGATGCTTAAGGGAAAGAAATACCCGCTTTTTCACCCCCAATTCAGTCAATTTTCCTCCTTTTTCAAGAGACCCTTTTCCAATTCACTCATTTTTATTTCTATTGCAGTAGGTAAAAAAACTCTAGCATTCTTGATTACACTTAAAGTCTTTACTACTTGCGATCCCAGCAATGATTATTAGGAGCAATGGTGAAATAAACCCAAGTTATGGTAAGTATTCTTGCTACTTGTATTTTGTAAATATTCCTTCTTAATTTATTTTCGAAATCTTCACCTTTTTTACAATACTTTACTTTCTTTGAAGTTCTATAATATGTGGCCCTTATCTCGAATTCATATAGTATGCCTAAATAAACTTTTAATTTTTTTTAATGCAGATCCTTTGTACGAGGCAGATTATTTTACAATTAAAATAACACACGGTGGTTTAATGAAACTCAAGCCTACAAGGCATTATGTTGGGGGCAGAATGAACTTTATTGACTATGTCAATGGGGATGAACTAAAGTTGTCGATATTCAAATCTATGGCTGAATTATGCGGTTATGGGAATGACTCGGTAACTTTTTGGCACAAGCCCGAGAGGCTAAGTGACAAAATGAGGCTAGTTTCAACTGATAAGGAAGCCGCCGTTGTTGCAAAAAATTAGGGTAGTTGATGTGTACTTTGAACATTTGGATTCGTATATAGAAATGGGTATTGAGAATGCTATCTATGAGGGACAAAGCAATTCAAGGAATGATAATCATGTTATTGTTGAAGAATATCAAAAAGAAGTTGGAGGTGAAAATTCTTCAAGTAGTGAAGATTTTGAAGATTCAGAAAATGACTTGTTAGATGAAAATAATTTATCAGAAAAAATTAGAAATGAAAAGCGTAGATATGAGGTTAGTGAATAGCTACAGAGAAAGTTGAATGTTGAAGATGGGGAGTCGGACTGCTGCAAGTCTGATGACACGTTGAGCTTACAAAGTGATTCGGATACCGAAAGTTTAAACTTTCCAAAGTTCAACCCCAAAACAGAAAGTCCATTGTTAGATAAACAAAAAGATTTGATTGAAGCATTTAATGAGGTGTTGCTATTTGTTAGTCACAGATTTTGTATGAGACATTTGCATAATAACTTTAAGAGGGCGGGATTTAGTGGTATCTCGTTGAAGAATGCACTTTGGAAAGCCGCAAGGGCATCAACAGAGAAGTGGTTTAATACTTGCATGGTTGAGATTTTTGATTTAGACTCTGAAGCTGCTAATTGGTTCCGAGACAAATTACCAAGTGAATGGTCTAGATCTCACTTTTCTGAAAATGCAAAATCTGATATCCTACTTAATAACATGTGTGAAAGTTTTAATGGAATGATCCTCGAAGCTAGAGACAAGCCAATAATCACTCTATTGGAAAAGATAAGGTATTTACTTATGGCTAGAATGGAGGCAAATAGAGATAAGGCTGCCAGGTGGGATATTGGTGATATATGTCCTAGGATTAAGGATATATTGCATAAAAATCAAGCGGGTGCTGCGGAGTTCATTCCTAGAAAATCTAATGAGTGGAACTACGAGATTATAGGGGCAAGCATACATGATAAGTGGGCTGTGGACTTGCTAAACAAAATATGCAGTTGTAGGAAATGAGATCTGACAGGAATTCCTTGCAAGCATGCCATTGCTGCAATTTAGGCTAAAAAAGATGACATTAATTCCTATGTTCATGATTCCTACAAGGTGGAAACATATAGAAGGGTCTATGACTTTGCTATTCTTCCTATGAATGGTCAGCATATGTGGCCTAAGTCCAGCAACGTGCCTCCTTTGCCTCCACAACTAGTAAGAACAAGCACAAAAAGAAGAAAGCAAAAACTAAGGAGAAAAGAACAAGATGAAGTACGAGCAAGTAGAACTAAAATGAAAAGAAAGCAGAATTCCTTGCTTTGTAGCTTATGTCATAATGCTGGTCACAATAAAAGAACATGCAAATTTAATATTGTTCAGCCAGATTCCCAAGTTGATGAGTCTTCATCTTATGCTCCTGCCTCGTCAACTCGTGCAAAGCTTCCGGTATCAATAACTTACAATTGAATTCTGTTTATTAAGTTATTATAATATGAACGAGTAATAGTACCATATATTTTGTTTGCAGGTAAGAAGAGGACATGTGGCGCATGAACATATGCAATGTGCTCAAGAATTTGATTCTTAACATGACTGAAGTTCTGATATTGTTGCTGCTGAAATATTGGTATTTTGTTGCTGAAACGGTGATATTTTGCTGTTGAAATGCTGGAATGAGTACTTTTGCCGCTGAAATACCGAATTTTTGCTGTTGACATGCTGATTTTCGCTGCTGAAATGCTGATATTTTTGCTGTTGAAATGCTGGAATGCTGTATTTTTCCCGCTGAAATACTGACTTTTGTTGCTGAAATGCTGATTTTGCTGCTGAAATGCTGTTTTTTGCTGCTGAAATGCTGATTTTGCTGCTGAAAAGCAGATTTTGGCTGCTGAAATGCTGATAGCTTTGCACTTTGAATGCTTTTTTACTGCTAGAATGCTGGTTTTGTAGTTGAAATGCTGATTTTGGGTGCTAAAATGCTGATAGCTTTGAACTTTGAATGTTTTTTTACTTATAGAATGCTGATTTTAGCTGTTGGAGTGCTGATTTTTGCTGCTGAAGTGCTGATACCTTTGCAGTTTGAAGGCTTTTTTATCATTGAAATGTTGTCCATGATAAAGATTATTTTTGTTGTTGCAAAAAATTATTTTTCTTCTGTTAAATACTCCAATTCTGCTGAATCTGTTTCTTTTCTTCCTTTTTTTATAAAGAACATTCTGTTAGTTTTTTAACTAAAGTTATTTTAGGTTTCTGTTAGTGAGAATTTTTAACTGAAGTTATAATTTTCTGTTAGTGAGAGTAAAAGTGCTCAAGTTTTGTAAACTTAAAGGACAAATAGTGCTAAGGGTTATATTAAGAGGACAAAGTTAAGCCTACCCCTAAAAATAAGGGATAATTTTGGCTAAAAACTAGAAAACATTTTCCTTGGCACCAAACACACCCAAAGTGAGGAATAGTAACTAGTAAGATGTGATACTGGAAGTACAGTGTCAAGATAAAATCGAGACCCATCATTGTTTAAGAAGTTAGTAATATGAACTTGAGGATTCCATTGTTTTTTGCCTACATCAAGATTGTCATAAAAGAGGACGACTTAGCTACATCTGAGTTTATACTAGTAGTACTACTGTTACTAACGTTTTGCCTTTTTTTTTACCTCTCTCTGCGTATGAGTCACGAAAAATTACCAGACTTTTCACTTCAATCATAACTATCCCAGGCCCCAGCATTTAACTAAGCAACAAGGTTCACATACTAGTTGCTTCTCAATAATTTCATGCATTATTCCCTTTCAGCATTGAAGTGCTCTTTGGTTTTCTCCACTCCATTTCTTCTTGATCTGGGAATTCAATAAAGGAGCTTTCTTGGAATAATTGAATCTACAAATCCTTTTTGTTATTGCTCAATTAATGGCTTATGCTTCCGTTGTTTCTCTTGCTCAAACTGCAGACCAACTCAGTTCCAGAATCCCAGGTTTGCTTTCTGACCCAACAATAGAATCGCTAGCCGGATCTCTAGAATATTTCAAAGGCTTTCTTGATGATAGTAGCAAGAGAAGTTATCACCAAGAAAAAGTCACTTTTTTGGTTAGAAAGTTTAAACATGTACTAAATGAAGCTGAAGATATTATTGAACTAAATATTTGTGAAATTCATGAAAGGGGAAGTTTGAGTGGTATTGAAAAAGCAAGTGAAGATTTACTAGCAAGTTTACTACCAGTAGTACAGCAAATTGAGTAATAAGGAAAGAGTTGGTGCTGAGTCTTGAGACTTGCACTAGCCATGGCCATGGCATTGAACCTGCTGATGATCATTTCAAGACTCGGGAATCCATGCTTGGAAGTCCGTCTAGAAGTAGTTTTAAGACAAATGCTGTTGTGGGTCTTGATGATGATTTGGAAAAGATCATAGAAAGACTACTTGGGTCCTCATCCGAGAGAGAAGTTATTGCAATTACAGGTAAGGTTAATTTGATGTATGATCATTGAACTTTACCCACTATAATAGTAAAGTCACAAAACTAAATTTTGGTCATGATAAAATTATTATTTTACCCACTATAATAACAGTCACTAAACTATTTTTTGTCACATTAAAGTAACTACATTTAGCCACTGTAACAGTAAAGTTACCTTGACGGCTAGGTTTTGTTCTTATAGTAGGTAAAATTTAGTGATTATGTTCAATTATTTTAATGTGACAAAAGCATTGGCGAAGCCGGGAATTTTCCCAAGCCTATTCAAACTTTAAAAAGGTGGACAAAAATTTCCCGATAAAGGGTGTTCAATATATGTTATATACCTCTAAAACTTAATATTTTACCTATATATACAATATAATTTTTCTGCGAATTGACCACCCTTGATAGGCTGTAGCTTCGCCCGGACAAAAGTAGTTTTGTGACTATTGTTATAGTGAGTAAAGTTAAGTGACTTTACTTTTAGTGGGTAAAGTTCAACTATTTTATTTTTGAAATGGACAAAGTTTAGCAACCATCTGTGAACCCTTACAGGTATGGGTGGTATTGGCAAAACGACACTTGCTAAAAAAGCTTATGATCATCTTCAAGTTAGGTCTCGCTTTGACATTCATGCGTGGGTTACAGTATCTCGAGAGTATGAAATGAGAAGATTGTTGTTAAGTCTCGTCTGTTGCATTCCAGGCATGGCCGATAAATTTCTAGAGAAGACTGAGGATGAATTAGCAGAGTTGTTATATAGAAAACTAAAGGATCGAAGATATCTGATTGTCGTTGATGATATTTGGAGTACCAAAGTTTGGGATAATGTAACAAGATGTTTTCCAGATGACAACAATGGGAGTCGAATCATATTAACAAGTATGCTTAAGGATGTGGCTGCTTATGCTAATCCTGATAGCCCTTTGCATGAGATGGGGGTATTAAGTTTAGATGATAGTTGGAAATTACTTTCTATTAAGGTTTTTGGGGCAAATGATGTTTGTCCTTCTGAATTGGAGGATAATGGGAAGCAAATAGCAGAAAAATGTGGTGGACTTCCTTTGGCAATTCTTGTGGTTGCAGGATATCTTTCTAAAATTGCTAGGAGAAGAGAAAGTTGGATTATTGTTGCCAAAACTGTAAGTTCAGTTGTTGCTAATGATCCTGATAAATGCCTAAGAGTGCTTGGTATGAGTTACAATTACCTACCAAACCACCTCAAGCCATGCTTCCTCTCTATGGGAGCTTTTCCCGAAGACTTTGAAATAAAAGCTCGGACTTTGATCCAAGTTTGGGTTGCTGAAGGGTTTCTAAAAGCCGAAAGGCTCAAGAGCTTGGAAAAAGTTGCAGAAGAGTGTTTGGAGGATCTTAGTAGTATAAATCTGATAATGATAAGAAAGAGGAGGTTTAACAGCGAGATCAGAAGTTGTGGCATACATGATTTGTTGAGGAACTTGAGCTTAAGAGAAGCTGAAAAAGAGAAGTCTCTGCATGTGACATCAATTCATTATGTCTCAAACTTTCTAGCTCAAAGGCATGAGCGTCGTGGCTTTAACTTTCTTTCCGACATTTCTCTGGATGATTCTAGTGAGTTATCATCTCAAGTTGTTCGATTGATGTTTTTCTGGGGTAAACTATTAATACATGATCCGCCTCATAGGCAAATGTCCTTATTCACAAGCTTCAAACTTATCAGAGTGCTGGCTATTTTTTCTCATTTGTTTTCTTCGTTCCCAGTTGAGATAACACGGCTAATTCATCTGAGGTACCTTTGGATTCGATCAAATGGTAATCTTCCTGCATCAGTGTCTCAGCTTTATCATCTGCAAACATTGGTGCTTCAACAGTCGAAATTATTTTATATGTACAAAACTTTAATTTTGCCTCGGAAGATCTGGAACATGACACAGCTGAGGCGTCTGCGTCTACTGAGTAGAAACTATTTGTCTAAGCCTAAAAGAACTGATGAGGGAGCAACAGAGAGTGTTTTGGGGCTAAGAAATCTAGAGGAACTTTCTCATTTATGTTTAGCTAGTTGTACAGAGGAAGTCTTTTCATGCCTGTGAGCACGTGATTTTTGCCTTACGAAAAACTACTCCAAAATAAATCAAAATAAATTTATTTTACTGTGTAATTTCTGAATTTGCATGATGATAAAATTTGTTTATGTACGTAAAATGTTTGCTTTGTCATAATAAATCAAAAAATAAAATAAAATACATATTGCATGCATA